TACATTTAAAAAGACACAAGTGGGTTTACTGTTTATTTTAAATAGCAAATAAAATGGCTATATTTGCACTTCTGACATTGCAGCCCCTGGTCCCCATCACAACCAGTGTAAAGAAAATCTGAGTCTGTAAAAACACTCTGAATGACTTGAAGATAAAGACCAGACAAAGAGTTAAGGTGCTAAAATGTAGTAACTTGAATTCTGATCATTCTTACTTCCATTGTTTCCGACAATAAAGTTCACATTTGGTCCAAACTGGAAAGGGCCAAGCAAATGGTGACTCATAAAGTTCTTCAAAGTGATGCTCTCAATTACACCAATATCTCCTGCACTCTAAAAAGCAGAGACAGAGTGGCTTAAGTGCAGAGTCCAAGATCATTAGAATTCTGCTCATTCATTAACTTAATGATTCAATTCACACACCGAGGAAGAGACAGAGTGCTCCTGATGAAACCCTGCCTCTTCATCAATGTCATCCTCATCTTGGACATGGGTTGTGTCCTCTGTCCTGAAAATTTTGCTGGGTTTTGGCAGACTCTGGACATTGGACTTCCTCTTGTTCATTGTACAAATATGCTCAAGCTGTGGAGAAAAGCAACAGCTAGTTCACTATATTGAGTGATGTTGGAGAGATGTCTTTGTGTGCATGCACTTCCTCATCACAGCCAACTTAAACAGAGTCAAAACTGAGCTATAACGATAATGAAAGTGCGGTGAGAAGCCATGAACTTAAGTCTTGTTCAGAATAAAGCTCCAAAGTAGCCTTGTACTCACGCTAACAACTGAAATAAACATTCAAACGCTATCGGGGTTCTCTCTTACCTACCCGTAATCATTGCACTGAGTTGGATAAGAGGTAAGCGAAATGCAAAGGAATTAAAATGCACTCTCTCGCAAATGACTTCAGCACTGCGCTGTCATGGCTGAAGATAACACAGTCCGTCAACTCAAGTCAACCCGATTACGCTGCTCTGACTTCATTTCAGACAAGGGACAAACTGTTATGCCGAATATAGTAACTAGCCCATTTGATATTTCGCAAGCATTCAGTAACAAGAGCATTTTAATGTGACTTACTCCATTCCCCTGCATGTGGAAGTGAATGTGTGGTTTTAAAAAGCTAACTATATTTGCTGGCTGCTTCCTGGTTAGTTACTGTTGTGAACTGTAGGTGTGGCTAAAGCTATGCTAACCTGCTGGGCTGTTAGTCCAGCACCTTCGCTCAGCTCAGAGACTCTCCGTCTAGACAGAAGAACGAAACTACTGTTTTGATGTCACTTACTTCTGCTTGTACACATAATCAGAGCAAGTAAGGAATAAGAAGGGTTCAGCGACTTAACACGGTACATGTTAACATGGTGAAATACATAACTCTAATTTTAGTGCATACGGGGAGTTTACTGTCAGTAAGTGACTACATTGCCCTTAAGCCATCATCAGGAAATGCACCAAAAACAGAGCAGCAGCAGCCTAGATCCCGGTGCAAAAAATCTGACCCACTCTATAATGGCCTAGATATCGATCCCACGGGTAAAGGCTCGCTTGAAATTAGTTTCGGACAGGACAGTTTCACCGATCAACTTTTAAAGCAGCTAAATATAAATACAACCACAGCGAGACAGTTGAGAAAATGCAGACTGATAGAGGGCGCCGTTGAGTGGCCAATCAACAGTGCGCTGTCTGGTGGGAGTAAGACAAACTATTCTTGATTTTTAAAGCCGTTTTTCCACTGCCTGGTACCGGCTCGACTCGACTCTTTTTCGGTTTTCCTTTAGGCATATCTGGTACCGGGTACTATTTTTGGCACTACCTCCGTCGTGGTTCTAAGCGAGCTGAGCTGATACCAAAAGGTGACGTAAAAATTTACAGATTCCTGATTGGTCGGAGAGAATTGCTAAACACATATGCTAACGTTAGCTAAGTTACCCTCTTGTGTCGCCTTTTTTGAGCAACCTGACTGAACTCGTCTAGACTCAGATGTTGTATTTCCCAAATTATCCTGTTTTTTTTTCAGCAGTTTTTGTCTCGCTGCCACCAGCCGCTTCTGAACAAAGTTTGTCTCATTCACGTCGGCAGTTTCCTTTAGCGTCGCTTTGACGATTAGCTACACTGAGGGGTGACAGTTACTGTACCTGCAGTGGAAAACGAAGTAGCTGGTATCAAAAGCGAGTCGAAGTCGAGCCATACCATGCACTGGAAAAGAGGCTTTAATGAGTTTTTTCCTAAAATGTTTTATTTTTTTTTATTGGTTTATTGTTTGATTAAAATCTGGAGCAGTGGGAGATATCTGTGGGAACTGCTTTTAAACAAATACTCTGTAACCTCAAAAGACTGAGGACATGGACACTCAAGGGAAAAAGACATTCCCCTGAACTCTGTTGAACTTTTAATTAGAAAGATAATTTATATTGTTTTATATGCAGATGAAGTGAATTGTGTAATTTAGTAAACTGTGGAAATATTTTAGAAAATGTTAAAATGTTGATGTTTTGTAATTTGTATTTCTATGCTCTGTTTTGAAGATGTATGTAGTGAAAAAAATTTAAGTATTCTTTCACTGCTATTATGTATTTTTATTGTTTTGTTTCTGGTTGGTGGTGGGCAGAATAAGTGATTGACAATAGAAATGTAATGAAAGATTGGGTGCAGTGCAGTCAAAAATGATTGGCAGGTATCTCACCCACTGGCCACACCCACCGTTGGTTTTATTTTATTATTATTTTTATGTATTTATTTATTTATTGGTGGGGAATTGCACATAGTTTATAGAGTTTACACAGTTATGAAAATACAAGCACATATGAAAGCAACTGCAAAACAAATTATATTGCGTAAGGAAAACACTAATATAAAATAGACTAAATTAAAATAAATCTAAAATAGAAATTAAAAATTTGAAAAGGAGAGCATAAATATGAAAAGCACATTTATGGGATACATACAAAATGCTCATAATATTTCAAGAATTTAATATTTTTGGTAATATTAATGAGTTTAAGATATGTAAGTATAAAATTAATTTCTACTGGCAAAATGTTAAGATTAGAAAATGTTTAGAAGCAGCTTTGCTACCTTTGCTCTCCTGAATGTGGTATTTGGTGATAAAAAGTAATCACACAGATATGTGTACATCTGGGAATAAACATTTGGCATGTCCCCTGAGGGTAGTGGACCACAGTTGGCCTGCTAATGGCAAAGCTGGTGGTCCACTGGCGTTTTGCTCAGTGTTTTCTGGGCGGCCCACTGGTGGTTAAGCAGAGTATTAGACAAAAATCCACTTATTGCTCATTTTCTACTTATAGTCCAATTTACTTTACCAGCTTTCTTTAGTTATACATTGTAAATTAGTAAATCATTTTAATCAGTAAAATAATTTAACAGTGTCAGCAACAACATTTTCTATAAAATCATTTCACATTAGGCCTAGTCATTATTTTTTTCTCTCAATTGTTTGTAATATTTGTCTTAGTTTATTTACCTAAAATGAAAAGCTCAGTGAATTTAAAATCTGTTTGAGGAGATTAAAAACTAGTTAGATCTTGTATGCAGGACAATAATCTGGGTGGTCCGAGGGTGGACCGGCAGTGGCAAATAGCCGGTGGGGTGCCAACCTTATCAAACCAGTGGACCGATATGTGCTCGCTGTCTGGGTCCTCATTGTCTTTACTAAAGAACCCTTGATGAACCACATTCATAAGAGTGTTTCGATCAAGAGAATAAAGCTGAGAATATAAATACCTCTTTTAAACTGTTTTTGAGAAATAATGTTAACACATTAAAAGGGGCTGCTCCTGAAATTTTGATTATTGTACACATTATTTCGAAAGCAGACTCCATTTTTAACAAAAAATAAAAACTTAAGACTCGACTCTAATAAAATGGTGGACTGCGCCAGATTCGCGCGTTTTTATCCGCAGTCATGTGGTTGTAACGAGCTTCGACGTAATCGATCACGTGCTTGTGGCAAACAGCTTACGATGATAACGCTGCATACTCGGCAGGAAACCAATGAAAATGACGAACTGGAGTCGGCGTTAACATCGTTATGATGAGGTTACAGGAACACAGGTGAGTGAAACGACGCGTTGGGTTAAAGATGTTGCTTAAAAATGTTAACAGAAGCGGTGCTGCACAGTTCTGGAGAAAGTCAAGCTTGTCATTAACTGTTACACGATAATACGTTTAACGCCAAAGCAAAACAGGCAATACTAGTGCACAACTGCTGTTTATTTCAAGCACATAATTCTTTAGTGGTGTACGAGAGGGGGAAAAAGCGTTCAAGTTATGCTGTTATTTAAGACTTTAACGGGCTGAAAATGTGTTCAATATGTTCGAAATGGCTGCCATATTGGAAAAAACAAATTTCCTTTTCAGAACTATTTTTATGTCTTGTATTATCTGATACTTTTTAGGCCTATTTTTATGATTTGTGTGATTTTATTATCTATGTTTATTTATTTTATTGTGGTACATGGCTAATTTGTCCCACAACATGGCCCAGTCTACAGCTGGGCTCTCAGCCCAGATCTGGACCAAACAATATAAAGTGAGTAGAAATATTGATTGTGGCACAGATCTGGCCCAACTATATTGTTGGCCCACAATATCCATGCCAGAATTAGACCACAAATAAAAAATAAATAAAAAAAAACAAGGCAAAACCATAAGCAGCTGTATTTCATCTGTAGTCAACCAACACTCACATATGAAAGCCATAATCGGCCCAGAACTGTCTGCTATCTGGGTAGTTATGCATGATAACATTTCTTGAACACCCTATCTCAAAAATGGCCAGGAATGCGTGACTCCTTCCTCATTTTTTTATTCTAGAAACTTGAAGAATGTTATGGGCATAATTAGACCAGAAAATAGCCCATCGCTATAATATGTCATGAAATGGTCCATTGTTTTTCACAAAATACACCCCTTTTGTTCCCTTTTAAAGGCCCCTGGTAGAGTGTCCCTGGTTGTGCTCTTGGATGTAGGGACCTTTGTTCAAGATGTGTTCACGTCATGTGCTGCCAACAGTAGGATCAAATGTAACTGTCCACATTACAAGGGTAAACTTGCAACCCCACTGTGCCTTTGTGGAATTTGGTGGCAATTTCAACCATGGACAACTGATGAGGGAAATATATCAGCAAATGAAAAAAGAAATTCAAATCCACAAAGAACGAGATTGTGATTTTGAAGGTGACCCAGGTGACGTATGTCTTGTCGAAGAAGAAAAAATCTGGCATCGAGCAAGGATACTCTCAAGATGTGCAGATAAATACCTTGTTTTTCTAATTGATGATGGTAGAACACTTTGGGTATCAAACAGTTTTTTGGCATGGGGTCAGAGCAGCTTTTTCAACCTACCGCCCATGATGGAGCTCTTTATCATGGCCAGCGTGTCACCACTGTCTCTTGAAAATAGATGGTCTCCAACTGCCTCTGAGTTTCTCAAGTCTCTGTCTGGCAAAACTGTCTGTGGTTGTGTTCAGGATGTGATGATGTCTTACAGAATCATCCTTCTTGATATTCCAAGTGTATTCAAGCAAATGCAAGAATTTGGATTTGCTAGAAAGATACCGTCTGAAGAGTTTCAAATCCTTGTGGTGAATTCTCTGCATTCACCGAGAGATAGTGTTTCCTGTGCAAGGCCTGATCCTGCATTGACAAATGTTCAAACAGAGCATGCCAGTGACTTTGAAAAGGTCAATCAGTACTTATACCCAGAATTGCTGCTGGGAACCATCGAGGCAGTGGAGGTCACACAAGTAATTAATCCATTGCACATTTTCTGCAAACTGCATGTCTTCTCGCATGAACTGAAGAAGCTGAGTGAGCAGATTCAGGAATACTGCGAAAGCACCTCTGCTGCTGTAGCGTCAAGGCCATCTGATGGATCTCCTTGTGCCACCAAAGGAAGTGATGGCAAATGGTATCGATCCATTCTACAGCAAAATGTTGGGTTTGATGTTGCCAAGGTGTTTCATGTTGATTATGGAATCAGAGATTTTGTCAAAGTGGGAGACATCAGAACGCTATCTGCGAAGTTCTTCAGACTACCTGTTGTAACGTATAAATGCTCCCTGTATGGTATAAAAGACAAAGGTTTTGGCTGGACAACAGCTCAGATTGAGCGTCTGAAATCAGTTTTGCTGAATCAAATCTTTGTTGGGAAATTTGAGTACCGAAATTTGTCTGATGGTATTTACTATGTGACACTCCATGGAAATGACAATGTGAACATTAACAACAGTTTTGCTATCCAGGAGAAATGTCTTTTAGCGCCTGATAGAGCTTACTTTGGCTCCCCTTCTGAGATTCAAAGCCAAGAAACCCACAAAGATGAGCATAGATACGCAACTCCAGGTCATTCCCTCGGCTCTTGTATTGTTCCACGTGACTTGTTGCCTCCTGAGAATGCCAAGGTGTGCAGACTTCCTAGGACTGAGTTGAGTACAACAGGAGACAGTCCTGCAGAAAGGATATACAGAAGTCTACCAACTGACCTTTATCCATGCAAAGTGGAATCTGTACTTGATGAACATTTGTTTACAGTCGGAACTGTCATTGAGGTTAATGTGTCATATGTGGAAAATGACCAGAGATTTTGGTGCCAAATGGCTGGTAGTCTATTAGGTCTCAAGATGTTAATGGAAAATATCCAAAGACGTTATTCATGCAGTCAGTTCCAGCTGCCCACAGGATCAATCTGTGTGGCACATCATCCAGATGATGGGATGTGGTATCGAGCACAGATTGTAAACCACTATCTGACCCCTCATGTTGATGTGCGCCTTGTTGATTATGGGCAACTATTGAAAGTGCCGTTGCAAGATTTGCGACCTATTGAGCCACAATTTCTAAAGTTGAAATGCCAAGCTTTCCAGTGCAGCCTATTCAACAGGATGCATTCTGGAAGTTGTGAAAGTACAGCTCTAAGTGATAGTGGATTGTCAGACTCCTTTGAGTTTATTTCCCCAGTGTCCTTATGCAATGTCTCTTTAAAATGCACTGTAAATGCAGTTATGTATGACTCCCAAGGTGCAGTGCTCAATATGGTGGATATTGAATCTCTAGCTCCGAATTTGTGCGCTGCATTTGTTCAAAAAGAAGCAAATATCTCAGCAGTGGAATCTCTTGAAGCACCCTGTGTTCTGAATGACATACATGCTCTCTCAACACACAGTATCAATGTAGGAGCAGAGGAACAGGTTTGGATAACCTGTGTGAAAGGTGTCAACCACTTCTATGGTCAAATTAAACAAAATACTGCCCTGGTTGCAAAACTGAACAAAGACATTCAGCAGTATTGTGCTGTGGCACAGCGAACCAGATATTCATTTTCCCCACAAATGATGTGTGTGGCAAGATATAATGATGGCCAGTGGTACAGAGGACAAATCAAAGCTGTAAAACCAAAAATCATGGTGCATTTTGTAGATTATGGTGATGTCGTAACTTTAGATGAATCTGATGTTTTACCTTTGCCTGCTCAGCACAGTGCAAACATGTCTATCCCCTTTCAGGCTGTCCAGTTCAGACTTTTCAATATAACATTACAAGAATCCTCAGAGCTCAACAAATGGTTTGAAACTCATGCCACTGACTGTACGTTTACTGCCACTGTAATGGGGAAAAGTCCTTCTGGAAAGTTATCAGTGGAACTACATGATGGCGAAACAAACATAAATTTAAAAGTGAAGGAGAAATGTAAAGAAATTCAAAAAAAGGAACATAACCCCAAAGGAGAGGCAAACATGATGTCACCTAAATTCACAGAACCTTTGTGGAGAGGAGACCAATCTAACTCCAGACTAAAAGCACCTAAGGATTGTAGAAATGCACCAAAATCAGCTGATCCAAGTAGTTTTACAGGCAAGAAAGTTGAAAAAGTGCAGTGTACTGATTTTGCAAGTGGGCCCTTCATATCTCGGAAAGGAGAGAAACAAACAGATCCTGACAAACATGTGGTTTCCCTTCGTTCAAAACTGGAAGACCTTCCTTCAAGAATTATTGAAGGAGATTTTGTCTCAGAAGTATATGTTTCCCACTGCAGTAGCCCATCGAGTTTTTTTATTCAGCTCGTAAGTGAAGAGAGTGAAATATGCTCTCTTGTGAATGAACTGAATTGCTCACAGTTTTGTGAATCACCGGTTGATTTTAACCAGTTGCTGCCAGGTCACTTGGTAAAGGCAGAGTTCCCTTGTAATGGCGCTTGGTACAGGGCAGTTGTCAAAAACAAACTTGATGATTGCACAATTCAAGTGGAATTCTTTGACTATGGAAATGAGACAAAGCTCTCAGTTTTGAAAGTGAGACAACTAGGCTTGCAATTTCTCAAATACCCCAGATTTAGTATTCACTGTTGTCTTACTGTAGGTGATGGTGAAGGAATAAGAGAATGGACAACAGAGCAGACAGAATTATTTAAAAAAGCCACCATTACAAATAGTGAGAAAAAACTGCTTTGCACCTTTATCAAAGAGAAAGCATCTGTTTGGCAGGTTAGCATCGAAGATCAAGGTGTGATGCTGGCTGAGTCATTATTAGACATGGAATGCGCTGTTAAATTAAGTTCTTGTGATACACCGCTGACTGTCAACTCTGGAGATGCCTGTCCAGGCGTTTACAATAAACCAGAGGTTTCTGTAGGCCAGAGAATAGAGGCGTATGCTTCATCCATTGCAGGACCAAATTACTTCTGGTGCCAGCATGCAGCGTCTGAAAAACTTGACCAAATATCTGTGATTGCTCAAGAAAGTGGAAATTCTGCACAAACACATCTTATTCAGTTACATCATTTGAGCCCAGGAAACTTATGCTTGGCTCTTTTCCCAGATGACAACATGTGGTACCGTGCACAAGTTATTAATAAATGTGAGAGCTCAGTCTCTGTGCTTTTCATAGATTATGGAAATGAGAGTGAAGTTTACCCAACATCAGTCAAAGCAGTACCTACCAGCCTACTGGAAGCCCCACCTCAAGCATTTCTTTGTCAGTTGGAAGGATTCAAACCCACAGATGGATTTTGGAATGATGCTGCTGCTAGTAGATTCAGTGCACTTGTGGTGGATAAGCTTCTGACCGTTAGTGTTCAAAATGTTGAGATGACCTCAGACGTCTCTAACTTTCCTCAGTATAATGTCCAAGTTGAGTGCAACATGGGCCTTATAAATGGCCTCATGAAAGATTACTGGATTGGCTGCACCACTGAAGTCTATGGACAAATCGCTGATGAGGTTTCTCTGAAACCTATGGCAGTGACTCTGAGTGGTTCTCGTCCATTAACACAGTGTTTTCCTAAAGTTACAGACCTCCCACCTACAGCCGTTGAACAAGATTTTGTTTCAGAAGTTTATGTTTCACACATTAATAGCACCTCCAGTTTCTTTGTACAGTTAGCAAAAGATGAAAAATGTCTAATTTCTCTCACAGGAGAGCTGAATTCTACCTTTTTGTCAGTCAGTGACCAAATTGAGATTAATTCTGTTTCACATGGCAGTTTAGTGAAAGCTGTTTTTCCTGATGATGACTCTTGGTATCGTGCGGTCATCAAAGATACTAATGGGAAGGACGTTCATGTAGAATTCATAGACTTTGGAAATGAGGCAGCTGTTCCTGCCATGAATGTGTGCAAGCTCGATGAGCAATTTTTGAAGTTTCCAAGGTTCAGCATCCATTGCTGTCTTGATGCAGAAGATTGTGTCAGTATACAGATGGGAACAGAGCAAGGAACATCTCCGCTGATTAATGTACTTGAGAAGGCTGGTGAAAAGAGGCTGTTTTGTAAGTTTATCAAGGAGTGCAGAACTGTTTGGGAAGTCAAAATTGCTGATGAGAAGAGTACATTAGATGGCTCATTTAAAGATCTTCCACTTGAACAATGGGATGATTTGGATATTAGTAGACTACAGAATGCCTCTCCAATGCAAGTGCTCTCTGAAGTAAAACAGATACAGACTACAGACACCTTCTCGTTGCCATTCAAGAGATCAGAGATTTCTGTAGGACAGACAGTAGAGGTATATGCTTCATCCATAGCTGGACCAGATTACTTCTGGTGCCAGCATTCAAATTCTGAGGAACTTGACAAAATTTCTGCGATTGCTCAAGAAACCGGAAACTCTGCACAGACGGATCTTATTGAGAGAGATCATTTGCGCCCAGGAGACACTTGCATAGCTCGCTTCACTGATGAGATGTGGTACCGTGCACAGGTTATTAAAAAATCTCCAAATACCATGTATGTGCTTTTTGTGGATTTTGGAAATGAGTTTGAAGTTGAAGCAGACTCTATCAAGCCATTGCCTCTCCGTCTGCGGGAAAGTCCTCTTCAAGCATTTCTGTGTCAACTGGAAGGATTCAGCCTCTCAGATGGGTCCTGGAATGATAACGCTACAGACAAATTCTGTGAGCTTATAGTGGATAAGCCCCTGAAAGTGACAGTTAAAAAGATTCAGAATGTTCTGGACAGTCCTTCTCTTTCACATCATGTCAGAGTCCACTCAAAGGAATGTATTGTAAATGAGCAGATGAAAGGTTTTTGGAGTGCTTCTGCATTTGCTTATGATAAGAGCCCTGGAAATCCTCTGTTGACTGCCAACTCTGTGCAATTACTTTCAAATGGCCAGCCTGCTCCCGAGAATATAGTTGATGTAATATCTGATAATTCTCTAGAAAACATCAGGACAAGTGACATGAAGCCTCAGTGTGATTCACCTTTTGGAAGTGAAGAAACCTTTAAACAAAATGAAGACTTGCATGAAGAGCCTGTTAAAAATGAGGTTGAGGTGAGGGAAAGACATGCCAGTGCTACAGATCTTGATGCTGTCAGTGGTGATGCATCATGCCTTACACTGAAAAATGTTTCAGAAAGCAAGGAAGAATTCAGTGGAACTGATGGCAAGTGTTGCCAAAACAGTCAACTGACGAACTATGGACCTGACCAAGAAGGGGTCACAGAGCTAAATTCAACTGTGCCAACTACACAGGCTGATTTAGGTGGGTATTTGCAATTTAATGCTTTGACTTTTTTTGTAAGTAGGGGTGGGCAATATGGCAAAAATATAATGTCACGATACATGAAGGCATTTTCACAGTACACGTTTTGTATCACAATATTATTTTTTTTTTCTTGAGTTTTCTAAGTTGGAACAGACAAAAAGGAACTAGTAATGCTGTATTAAAAATACTATAAAAACTATGAATTCAATGATTTTTTTACCCAACATTTTACACATTACGCCACACTAAATCCAATTAAACAGGACTAATTTTGCTCTTTTTGTAATGAAACATGCAGTTGGCTAGTGTTCTTTAAGTACCGACAATGTTCAGAAAAGCATATTGTGATGTGATTTATCACAATAACGTTAAAATATGGTCATATTGCCCACCTCTATTTGAAGGCATAGATCATGCGTTTTTCATTGCAATGTTTTTCTAGAAAACTAAATAGTAAATTAAAATGTCTTTAGACTAATTGTTTACTGTTTTGTTTTCTTAATCTAAAGTGGGTGTGTGTTTTGTAACAAATTTTTTTTCTACTTTTCTGGTAGTGGTTTATGTGGTGTAGAAAGCCAAGTGTTGACCACAGTTAGGGATGGTAGTAGGAAATTCCTTAGCATTTACTTAGTTTTGCTGTGAGAAATTAGTGGATGCCCTGCTTTTTATTAATTATTTCTTTTCATTAATTAGTAGGTTGCAAACCTGAACTGGATGAGTTTTTCCAGTGGAGGGACTGGTAACTCTTTGTTGTTAAAGATGCAGGTAAGATAAACAGGGTTTAAAAACAACCTGTGTGTTACATACAAAAGAAAGGCCACTTCTATTACAGTATGGCCTTAATTAAATAGCCTGTTTGACTAGAAGAAATCCTACAAGCACCCCTGCATTTTACAGCTTACCTGTTTTGAGGTATCTGCCCAAGTCCAAGGTCTTCAGATCCAGATCAGCTTAAGTCCTGGATTTTGTAATCACTACTAGGTATAATGCTAGGTGGCCAGTCAGTTAAATCTATGGTTCAGGTAACTAGCAGTGAATACAAAAATACAGAACTGGAAGCTGGATTCGAGAGCTAGATTACTGCCTAAAAACAACTTCATCTGTTTGACAGTCAGAAAAAAATGGACACTCACAGTACGCTAGTGCTTGTTTGCCTGCTGTGTGCATATAAAAAGCTCTTATGTGTTTCCTTTTGAATCAGAGTTGATTATTTAGCGTTTAACTGTTATTTATTTATTTTTATTTTTTTTACAGTAGATGTAGACTGACAATTCACTGTTTATACATTGTCAATAAAATGAAAGTGTGCAGTTTGGTCAAAAATCTGGTACCAGACAGCTTAACCTTGCAGTTATCCATGTATTCTTCTGTCTTTGCCATCTCATTCATTTCTCAAGTAGCGTATCATACACAAATAGGAAATTAAAAGTATGTTTAAAAGCTTAATATAGGCTTTTACTTCTTGTAGTTTTGCCCTTTGCTGTTGAAATGAATGAAATGGCCTCTTGGTGAAGTCAGTTCCTTGACTTTAAGTGTGAATTACTCGATGGAGGGACATTCAAATTAATTTTTTTCCCACTTGGAGATCAGCCCATGGCAAGGGACTTAATTGTGTTTTGCATGGCAGTTTAGTAAATAGCTGTATATGAGGTTAAAGTGGTTGAGTAATTTTTAATGAGAAGTATTTCAGATGGACAAATATAAGGTTTGTTATGCTTTGGATCGTGAGCTGTTCTGTTTTTTCTCTAATGCTTTCCTTTACCGTCATTTTGTTAGCTTTTCTGTTTTTGGAGCTTACAAGCAGTTTGCATCTTGTGATGAACCATCTAAACCATCTGTATTGATCTCTTTGTGGTTTTAAACATATGTGCCTACATTCTGGAGAGTTCATTTGTTCAGTAGTCAAAATGAAGATTCTTGATTGATATGTGTTTGGCAGTCTTCCGCTTTGTTTTCTGTGGCCTGTTTCCAAGCTCATCAGTGTTTTCTTGCTTCTTAAAAACATGCCAAGTAAGTTACTTTGACAGAACAAATGTCGTGGCTATGTCTGATTGATACTTGAATTCCAATTTCAACCTGATATCCTGCTTTACTGAAAGCCGCACTGCTGTAGTCCTCATGTTGAGAGGCAACAGCAACAGACTCTAGAAGCAAATGACATAGAATCAACTCTGAACTTAGAACACAAAAATACACAACCTTTTTAGAAATAGCCAAATTTTGCTCATGTAAAAAAAAAAAGGTTTATAAATGGTTATAATTCTAATGTGGTTGGAATGCCCGAGACAGGCATACCTTCAAATTCACACAAAACAAATCTAATGATCTGCATTTTATCACTGTCATTGTTTTGTTTTATATTCTTTGTACTGTAGTACAGAGCCACACCAACCGAAACTGCTTTTCTCAGGTTTAAATTAGCATTTAATGTTATTTTTCATGTTGTGTAATATTCTATATTATATTATATAGACACAATTCATGAGTTTGTATCTTTGCGTTTTCATCCCTTAATGTTCTCTCACTCTAGTAGCATGCTTTAGTAAATGCATCATAGCCAGCCAGACCCATCCACTTGTCTGTATGGAGAATTTTTATTATTGGCTATTTCTATGCAGAGATACTTCACCTGGACATTGGATGATGGGTGTCTATACAATCAGCATCGACAGCATCACCATGGAGCACTTATACGCACTGTATCAAATCTTGCAGTAGTTTATGCGCTGTGTTATGATCACTATTTTCATGTGAATTGTGATGTACCACTGTTCTCTTGCAGCACTGTACTGTTTGGATTGTTACTTTACTGGTCATTGCATCTGTTTTTATGTATTTAGTGTTGATACTAAATAAAAGACATCTGCAGCAGTATTAGTCATGATTGGCTTTTGTTGTAAAACATGAATACCACAGATGGTTTTTGTTTTTTTTTTTAATCATACTTTATTTCTTTGATGCACCATGTCCAGAATAGAAACAGTAAACAGCTAGCAAACTTGCCAATTACAAGTGGTTAAAATAGGTTGTGTATCTTAGGTTTGTCTTTAGAAGAAAGAAAAAAAAAACGTGAGGTTATGACTGAGTAGTAATTTTTTGTATTCTAGGTCAGGAGTGTCCAATGTTTTCTGCAAAGGGCTGATGTGTCTGCAGGTTTTCATTCCACACAAGCTACAGCACATCCTTTTCCACTTGTTTGATCAGCTGGTCTCCATCTTCGACAACTGTTCCAGTGAAAACATGCAGCCACGCAGGACTGGACACCCCTGTTCTTGTTTTTTATTGACAGTATTTTTCAAATTTACTGTGATTACCATTTCTTGACCAGTTGGGGGCGCTGTTGTGCTTTTGCTGTAAACCTGTTGCAAGAGGACTTTCAGTTGAACATGCAGCGTTGGTATTCAAGTTCAACCGCTAATCTGAAAGGTGTGACTATAACTGACACTCGACAGGACTTAGAATATTATATAGAATATTATTAGTTGTTTTGTCATTCATTATGTAATATTAGTTATTGTAAAATGACAGTAATAAATACGACACAGTTTGAATGATGGAAATTTAAATTAGCTAAGCGGAAAAGGTCGTTTAGACCCATTTTAAAAGTTTAAAATGTTCTAAAGCAGACCTGTTGTTATGGAATAGACCAGGGGTGCCAAACTCTAAACGGGCCATATTAAAAAAAAATTCAACAAATCCGTGGGCCATAGAACATCTATGTTTTATTTCATTTTTAATTAATATTTTGCTATAAACCGAACTGACCATTGTTTATTCAAAATATGCAAAAATCAGCTGCAAAATAAGCACTTATAGACCTTAAAAATGACATGAATGCTTGAAATATTCAAAATAGAAATGTTTTCAGGAAGAACGTCTTTTAAACCTACCTATTTGCTTGAACTAGACGCCTGGCATCCTTTCTTTGCTGCAAGTTAATTCTTGGGCTCAGTTTCTGAGCTGCTGAGCTAAAGTTGAGTGTTTGTATCGCCTGAACTTCATTTAGTTGTTTGGTGATACGACTGGTGTGGAACTGTGTAGAACTGAGGTGTAACCGCTGCCCCATGGAGTGTTGTTGGGGAAGGATTGTCGGAGCGCACATTACGTTGCAGTGCATGCTGGGGAATGTAGTGCAGCGTGTTGTGAACCGAGCTAACATTAATAGAAAATTAAAATACTTTTGCGGGCCGGATTAATATTTGATACATGGTGATTAGACGGACTGCTTGTGCGTATGAAAATAGCCAATCGTATAGCAGGAGGCGGGATTAGTCTGAATACGGGTGGGAAAAAATGCCCACCATGTGTTAAGTTACCGAGGACAGTTTCCATGGGACATCTTAGTGTTAATGACGCGTTGCCACAAACAGCGAAGACAAAAAAGACAGAAAGCGAGGAAGCGTTGGTTAAACTAAACCGGGTAGGTGCACATCTCGGTTAAAAATGCACTGGGGAACATGAATACAAATGTAATCCAAGCCTACTAGAGTATTTTCCTCCCCTTTGATTTTGAATGAGCTCTTTGTCGTTTTTTGTTGTGTTGAGGAAACACGGCCATGTTCCCTCCTGTGCGTTAGGCTAAAACTACAACTTCCTCGAAATGTTTCACTTAAACACAGCATTGCTGCATTTTCTGAACACGGTGTGATCAAACGGGTCGATTCGTATTTTTTTCATTTAAGTGCAGATGACCGAATTGCACCAGGCAGCAGCAGTGGGAGATTCTGATCTCGTGCAAGAAATTGTGAAAAGAAATAAGTGCAATCCCAACCAGAAGGACAGTGACTGGAACAATAAGACACCTCTGCACTGGGCAGCGGCTAAAGGTAGACTGGACTACTGACACTGTAAACAACAGTCAGCTATAATGCTTTTATGTCACCATAAAAGATCTCGTTTTCAGGTAATGAGAGGGTCAGTATCTCCGTGGAGTGCCTTTCAGTCCTCACTATATTCCAGTATTTTCTTAGTTCACATTTTATTTCGTGTATGCCAAGACAAACTGTTGAATAATTATGAATCAATATTTGGAGAATAAATCAGAAGATACCCACTCCCTCACACACATATATTAATGTTTTCACTGCAGTATTAAAATAAGGTACTTTTTAATATATGATGAACCTTTCCTTAACAGAATCGTGTCTGCTTTGAAATGACTTTTTTTTTTAACAAAATCTTTCAAACATGTTTTAAAACAACAAATGCACAAATTGATTTTTTGAAACCGGGTTAAATATTGTGATTTTAGATTTTGTATTTGCAAATTGTTGGCCCACACTTTACAGCAAACCTAAAATATTTGACAATATGACTGAATTATTATTTTTAAATATTTAAAAAATGACAGAGTGGACCAGCACATGACTTTATAAAAATAAATATGGCTTATAAGTTTAGCATGTTGATTCAGTGTGTGTGTGTGCATGAGTGTGCAAGGGCAACATTACTACAAAAAAACACACACAAAATCTGCCTACACCTTGTAAGTGAATGATACGTCTCTCAATCAATAAAACATTCACCTTTCTGCTAAACAGCTGGTAAATAATCTGTATGGTACCCATGGTGTTCACCTGTGCGTTCTATGGTACCTCTGTGTATGTACCTGTGCTCACCATTGCCCCACAGTGTCAGAATGAAATCACTGCATCACATAGTCAGGTGACACACCAATATAGCTGATGCTGCGCCAGCATAATGTTTGGTATTTCATGATACATATAATAGAATATTTTAAAATTGATTTCCAATATATTTATGCTGGCAGGGTGGACTATGGGTAGATCAAGCACGCAAATTTAAATACAGAAAATTTTGTAATCAGAAAACTTTATGATTCATTCACCTCAACACTTGATTTCTCACCTCTGAAGACTAGAGAAGACAGCCTTTTCTTATAGAGGCAGGTTTGATGTGATCAGGCACATGGAAATGTATCTAGTGATACTTGGAAATAATGTAGAAAATATTCTAGGCACCAAATTTTTATTTATTTACTTATTTTTTCAAATATAAACACTTATCATGATGTAAGAAACTAAGAAAGTTTGGGCCTCATTCACCAATATCTTCCCAAGTGTTTTTTAATTTGTTTTTTAAGAAATGTCCTTAAAAAATTCTGCATCAGCAGACCTGTTTGCACCTTTGTGCTCTTGAGTGTGTGTAGATTCTGTTCTTAAATAAAAACTAATCCCAAATAAGAAAACACTGGTGAATGTCAGAAGCATAAGTGGGCCATAAGAAGAAATTTCTTCTTGAGAATGATTGGTGAATGAGGCCCATTGCCATTATTATTTAAATGCAAACTTACTGTGCTGTTTTTTTACCTGTTACAAAACAATTACAAAACTGAAGCAGAGAAAGGATTTGCTTCTGATATGTTTAACCATGTCTTATTTTAGGCCAGACGGAGGTAGTTAGGATACTGATTGAAAATGGAGCAAGATCTTGTCTTAGAACTGATAATGGATGGACACCTGCCCACTTTGCTGCAGAGTCAGGAAAGCTTCCAGTGCTGCGATATTTGCATTCAGTTCGTGCCCCCATAGACATGGAGGACTGCTCTGGAGACAGACCTATCAGGATTGCTGAAATCTATGGGCATAGAGACTGTGTTCAATTTCTTGAAAAGTAAGCTGTCTTTCAAAATGATACACTAAACGTTTAGCTTATGCATATATTTAGTGAAAGTGGAATCACTTTATAAGTTAAGTTATAACATTAAGGTGCAGCTGTCAATGATTGTTACAGAGCAGAAACTGAGTGCAGGGACCACCGGCGTATGGCACTGCTGAAAGGTCTCCCCCTAGATGAGACTGATGATGACTGGGAGGAAGAAAGAAGAGAAGCGGACCAGCAGAAAAGGGCAAGGAGTCATAAAAATTGCTTTGTTTCTACGAAAAAGAAGGACAATTGCAAAAGTCCATAAATGCAAGTAAACTGACAGACTCTCTTGGCATTGCAAACAATATTTTAATCTTAAAATAAAAAGAAATTACAAATAAACTCACCACATTTTCCACACAATATCAATCACTTATAATGTAAAAAGGTAATTTCAGTACAGAATGCTGCATAGCACGCCCTTTGCCCATTAAAAGTACCTGTTTCACTGATTTTCCACATACCTTTCGATAATTAAGTCATTCGGGAGGTACTGCATACGTTAAGGCAAGTTATAAAATTCTAGGTGTTTAATAACAAGCTATGTTGTACATAAATCAATATTTAAAATAACATGCGTCTCACGGTTGAAATAAGTAAATGTATAGTTTTACATTACAAATGTGACATAATAAACATACAGAAGTCATACTGGTTCAGAGTCTATGTGCTTACAAAGATAAGCCAGTAAAGTCCTTCCATGTTCCTCGGTTATATGAAACAGATTGCAGTGTGGAGATATCTTGTCATTTGTCCTAAAAGACAAAACAGTTTATGATCCATTATTAGAGCCGAGATGATAAAAACTGTTCTTTTTAAATGAATTTTAAACTCCAAAGTGATGAGTAAGTTATCAGTGCTCTCAAATGGTCAGAAATACACAGTGTATTGTCAGAAGATAATAAATGTTACATACCTTTTCAAAGCTATCCAGTTATTTTGTTTTAGTTGCTGATGTAATCCTCGATGAGCTCTCACTTTTATAGTTCATTGAATGCTGAAATGATAATTATTTTGTCAGTTAAGCTAAGTATTTCTGATAGCTTATCTAACTGTATATAAAAAATGCTTCCACTCTGATTTACCTGTCGTCCAAAGCGCTTCTGCAGTGCATCCCGAACCTTCAGAGAAAATAGGATTCATTTCAACTTAAATTTTTAGCATAATGGACAGTCCACTTTGTTTAACATTTAAAAGCTGTAAATTTGCTACTACTGAGTACTAAACTAGAAAACAGGCCTTCTAACCAACAGCCTTCTAACCAAAGAATTATTACTAATTATTTTCATATTATTTTCACTACTATCTCAAAAGCCATAGTAGTAAACTACTTTAAAATGCTTAACATTTCAAAACCATAACATTCAGTTTACTGGGCTTTAAGTTGCCAATTACTGCTGAACTTCATCACTTTACTAGCTAACCAGTAATCATGCTAAAGGCCACATGGCTAACAAAAACAAAAGGAAAGACAATACACCATGCCTCTACAATGAGTTTTGCCAGACAAAACAATTATTCACAGATTGCGTGTACTAAGTCTAACTAAGACCTGCCAAAGGTGAGTGCACCCCATTTGAATAATCTGTTTCTCCCTCTCCTCGTCTGCCACAAATAGCTACTTGTGTAATATAGATGTGACGCATATTTGGGTGCTGAGTCGAAGTGGGTGAGTGCATGTTAAAAAAAACAAACACACACAGAAAAATGTGGCCCTAGCATCAGCACCACAACAACAAATCAGTTGGATGCCAGCAAATGCTGGACTACTAACGGGACCCCCATTAGTGTGCAGGGTATTTTGCACACTAATTATATTAGTAATTAAATCAGTAACTTACCTTTTTCTCTCCAAAACATCCCGTAAGGAGTATGAAGAAGCCCTGCATGAAAATTGAGTGAGAGATTCATTGTATTTACTTGTTTAAGCTAGAAATGCAAATGTAGTCTTATGATACATATAATGTATTGTTGGATTGATTCATACCTGAAATGAGTTGAAAAAAGTAAAAGCGTAATTCACAATTTGGGCATAAGGTGCTGTTGTGAGGTCAAGCATTAGCACAAACAGTCCCAAAATCCAGGTTATTCCAAGAGTAGGGGTTAGGAGGACAATTGTTTTAACAATGCTTCGTGCAACCTCCTTTTCATCATGACTGCTTCCTTCTGATAAAGTGGGTTTTAAGATCCTGCTGATAACCACAACCATAGTGAACATGTTCACAAACACAATTATAAAAACAGGAAAAAGAAAGGCAAGGATTGACCCCTTTAACGCAGCCTCATATATCAGCCAACAGGTTTCACCAGAATAGTATGTTCCTGTGCTGCCATTGTCATAAGTGATGAAAGTGACAACTACAATGACTAAAGGACAGACATAGCCAAGAAACACACATAATCCCAAATATACTTTTTTCCTCAAGTGAACAAAAACAAATATTACTTGGTGCAGGAGCCCCAAACTCAGGCACAGCATCCAGAAAAACGCAGCTAGGAAGCAAAAATGCTTCATAACCGTAAGAGCCAAACACCAGTTGGGAGGGCTTGCAGATGGAACAGGGGCTGCGAGAAAACTGCAGTGTGCTATTAACAAACAAACCGTAATATTGACTAAGACAGTGTGCCTGAAGTGTGCAATGTTTGTCTTTACCACTGCATTCCACACCAAAAACTCAATTACTAAACACAGAGTGAGTGAAACGATTGAGAAACCTAAACCTGCATAAGTCAGCTCCTCCATGTACTTTAAGTCGATCGGATGTTTGGCCATCAGAATTGTAAATGCAGACAAATGGTCGCATGTACAGACATTCTGTTTGAGCATGCCACCCCATTTACAGCCCTTTTCAGACCACTGAGAATTTACATCATCCCAGTACACACAGTACATTTCATGGTTTGGGAGTCTCTTTTGGTTATACTCCATTGAGATCTTCGTCTTGTTGTCACCAAAAACTGCTAATATAATTTCACTTGGAAAGGTTTCTTTACCATCCAGAGTATTCGGTAACTTGCTACCAAGATTCTTAAATGCAGTTTGCACAGACATGTTGGATGCGGTCTCAGTGATACTGACACTGACACCGAAATCACTACTGAATGTTTTTTGTGTCGAAGCGTCGGATTTGTTGTATATTTTTACTTGTATATTCTCTTGTCGGAACTGATTAGTTGCAGTAGTAAAATTTGTTTGATGTATAATTCCTTCTACAGCCCTCAAATATTTAAGAGGCAAAGTGTAATTCCTCTCATTTCCCACAGGCCTCCAGCTGTCATTTAGACTGCCATTCAAAAGATTGCTTAAGGATTTCACAACATCCTGAAAAAGACAAAATATAATAATGTTAATTTTATTGTGGTTTAATGTAATTTTTACAGTCTGTCATTAGCACACATTTTTAAACCTCATTAAATATGTCATTAAATACGCAAAAAAAAAAAACTGTCAGTACTTACAGGGAACACTGTATCATTCCATTTAGATTCCTGTATGTTAGACGCATCACGCATGCTTTCCAGAACTCCCACAGTTGCATTAACATTTGCAAACGTTTCAAAGCTTTTGTCATCAGTTGACTGCTTTAACTGAACAAATACACCTTTTGCCTGTTTTTTAACAATCCCAAGTCCTCTTTGAAGGTTCTGTTACATATTGTTGAAAAGCAGAAATGTGTATGATTAACATTCTGAACAACAGTAATCCTGGAACAAATTTAGATCATGTTACATCTGATGCATTCAAACTGGCATTCCACTATTTGTTTATATGGATGTAGCAGAAATTTTAGTGTCTTTTAATTTTTGGACCAAAAGTTTATGTAGATCATGTAGAATCACTGATTGATCTAAAAACAAAACTGGCCTGAGGAATGGATCCCAGTCAGGGTAATGCCAGTAATTAAGCTAGTTTGGGAAATTATTACACATAAGTAAAAGCACTGTAAAAAGACTGATACCATAGCAACATCTAAAAGTTTACTGATGACTCGGTTCACACAGAATGAGATGAGATCCCCCCAGGTGCCATTTGCCATGCAGTATCTCATTTGTAGACCAACAGCAGTAGTATCACATAACTTTGTGGCATTGAAATTAGCCTTTGCGTCTGGCCAGTCAGACTCTGATTTGCAAATTGTTGAGTTCTCTGGTTCAAAAGAAAATTGTGCAATGAGATTTTTCCACCATGGTATCTCCTGGCTAAAGAAACACTAAAAGTTATAGCAAAAATAAAACAACCTTTCATTTTTGGCTCTTAAAAAGATGCCATGTAGACCAAATTTAACTCTGTCAACACAACTGTAAGTATTTTTTGTATATTATTTATTGAAATAAAAACTACTTACTGTTAATGATAGGGACAAACAGAGAGAATGTTTTTGTCTGATTTAGTCTGTTTTGGAATTCACATGAAACATCATGCCCTTCCAATTGTTCATCACAAAAGATTCCTTCGTAGGCTTGGTAAGAGATTTGACCATTTCCTTGAGAGACTTTAAACATACAAGACATTAGTACAGTTATAATTATAAAGAATTGAAATAATGAAAAGTCCTAAAAATATTTCTGCAGCAAAGTATATGTGTGCATGTGCCCTGCATGGGTAGAGCGTGAAAGGATGTGATTCTTACCTGGATTATCTTTTGTAATCTTTCTTCCTGTCCATTTAACTGTATAGTTTTCTGTGGTGTTAGGAACTATACACTGAACTGTAATGTAAAACTGTTTGATTGGGCCTGTGCAGCTTGGAAATTGGGGAACACTAAGGATAAGGGCTTCCGGCAAAAGTGCTATGTCCAAATAAAGACTGCCTCTGTATATTATGGAGTTAGGCTGCTGAGACATGTAGTCACATGTAAATGTTCCTGTATTGGAAGGAATGGAGAATGTTGCATTAGCTATTCAAATGTAGTAAATTACAGTAAACAGATTAGTGAATTAATGAGAAAGTAAGAACTCTTAAAAGAACCCAGTGTCCCTTACATAAGCCCAATTTTCAGTAACATACCTTTCCAGACTTCTGTAGTTTTCTTAATGTTAACTGTGCTGTTTAGCAGGTCATAAGACACAATAGCTTCAGTCCCATTTGTAATGTCCTGTGACGGTTGTGCATCTTTTTGGAAGGACCACAAGGGTCGTCCCAGAACCTCTGGTGTACTGCATGTTATGCTGATATCACTATTATAAGGAATTGGGTCCTGGAATTGTGGAATCCTGGTGCTTTTTACAAGTCCTGTTGGAAGAATGGTATTATTACTGAGGGTGTGCTGGAAAAAATGTAATTGTGAAGGCCTCCTGTATATGCCTGCACATTGTAATAAATAGCTGGGAAATATTTCTTTAAATGTTTTTTTCACTTTTGTTTACAAATCAGTAACGTACAGCAACTTGTACAACTTCTTCAGGTGCAGCTCCATACTGTACCTGTCCACTTTAATAATCATGACCGGGTTTTTTTTATTTCACTGACAGTTAAAATAAGATTTATAAAGAAAAGTTTACAGGCTGTAATAGACCCAAAGTACACTTATCTTTCATTCATGAGCAAGGTCCAGGATTGCTGAGGGATCTGGAGATATTAATACAAATTAAATTCCGAAAAAGTTGGGACAGTATGTGAAATGCTAATAAAAGCAGAATGCAATGATTAGTAACTTCTGTTTGACCTGTATTTAAAGGAAAACGATACAAAAACACAATATTTGATCTTTTACCTTAGGAACTTAACTGTTTTTTGTAAATAATATGCTAATTCCAAATTCAGTGCCTGCAACATGTTCCAAAAAAGTTTGGAGAGGAACATGTTTACCACTGTGTTACATCATCTTTCATTTTAACAGCACTTAATAAACATTTGGGAATGGAAGACACAAATTGCTCCAGTTTTGAAAGTAATTTTTTGCCATTCTTCTGTTATACAAGTCTTTAGTGCGACTGTATGGGTCCTGTGTTCTCATTTTTTGAGCTTAATAAGACAAACTGTTTCAATGGGAGACAGTTCTAGACTGCAGACAGACCAGTCTAGCACCCGCACTCTCTAATTACGCAGCAATGTTGTTGTAACTCGTGCAGAATGTGACTCGATGTTGTCATGTTGAAATAAGCACGGGTGTCCCTGAAAAAGATGTCAAGAAGACGGCACATGTTGCTCCAAACTGCGTTCAGCATTAATGGTGATTTTACAGATATGCAGGCTACCCTGTTATATTCCCCCATACCATGACAGATGCTGGCATTTGAACTTTATGCTGGTAACGATCTGGATCATCCTTTACTTCGTCCATTATTTCCATCAACAATCTGAAAAGTTGACTGTTCAGACGACAATACCCGTTTCCACTGTGCATCACTGTGCATCAGTCCAGATGAACTTGAGCCCCGAGAAGCCGGCAGCGTTTCTGGATGTTGTTGATATATGACTTCAAGTGTGCATAGCGCAGTCTTAACTTGCATTTGTGGACGCAGTGTCAGGACGGTGTTTATTGACAGCATTTTTTCAATGTATTCTCAAGCCCATGCAGTGATATCCATCACAGAAGCATGCCGATTTTTAATGCAGTGCTATCTGAGGGGTCGAAGTTCATGGGCATTAATTTGTGGCTTTTGGATTCCCTGAATCTTTTGATGATATTATGCATGTAGAGGGTGAAATACCTAAAATCCTTGCAATCCCTGGCTGAGGAGTGTTATTTTTAAACAGTTGGATTTGTTCTGATGAACTTTTGTCCAATTGGAGAGCCTCAACCCATCCTCGTTTGTAAAGGACTAGGCCTTTCCTGGGTGCTCCTTTTTATATCCAAGCATGACCGCATCGCCTCTTCAGAGGGTTCTTTGAACATTTTACAATACTCTTCATCTTAAAATTGTCTGTGTCCCAACTTTTTTGGAATGTGTTGCAGGCATCAATTTCAGAATGGGAGTATATTGACAAAAAAAAAACAACGTAATTGAGAAGATAAAACATTTCATATCTTGTCTTTGTATTGCTTTCATTTATATACAGGTCAAAGTAGATTTATAAATCACTGATTTTATTATGTTATGTCATTAGCTGGCCCATCTTCTTAGAAATGTTAGATCCTGGCTTACATCTTAGCATAAAACGTGTGCATCGTCTTCAGGGGATAATAAATACATTTTTCATTTTGTTTACAATTACCATTTTTTTTACCATTTTTTTCTCACAGCCCAGAGAGGCAGGGGAATGAAGTTTCCGCCCTTTAAAGCTAGGTACGTTTTGGGGATTCAAGTCAGATTTGTCTGTGTGTGATGTTAAAACGTAAAGTATATGCCATGGTCCGAAAAACTCCTGCCAAATCTGACCTGACATGTCTCACTTTTAAATTATTATTTCAGGCATTACAGGGTGACAGTTTTTTTCCTCCTTTTTTCCTAATCTTACATAGTGCAGCTTTAATTACATAGGTGGCAGCAGAGCAGTAGTCAGTATTGGGGCACATATGCATGTGAGAGAGAATCTGAATGCACAGTTGCAGACAGGGGCAGTTTTTGCACTAGGCAAACGTAGGCAGCTGCTTAGGGCCCACGTGAGAATACAAATTAAATATATTGTACATGTTGATGTTAAATGACCTATTTCAAAGTACATACACATTTTGAAAACAGCTGCTACTTACAATTATTATTATTTATTTTTATTTTTTAAATATTTGTGGATATTGGCAGATAATTTGGCTTGTTTCAAGCATGTTTTTTAAAAAGCAAAATTATCTGCCAATGTAGTGAGATAATTTCACTCAATAAACTGACTTAACCCAAGTTAACAATGTCTAGAAATAAGTTAAAAGGTCTGTATCACAAAAGACCACATTTTCCTTGCTTTCTTAAAGTAAAACTGGTTAAAGTAGCATGTAAACATTGTTCAATTTCAAAACATAGATTTCACTCCATTCTGCCTACAGCAGTTTAGCCCCACCCATTCATGCTTAAATTATAAGGAGTGGCGTTTTATTAAAAAGCCTGGACTGCTTTTTGAATGAAATACAATACAAGGCAGCCAATCAGAGCAGAGCTAATTTACAAATCTAAGTCTTAAAGGTGCGGTCACAAAACAGCCTGTTTAATTTTAAGGGGTAAAGAGAGATTAGAAAATGATCATGTAAAATGAATTATGGCTGTGTTTGGTACATAAAAGCACACAAATGTCACAAGAAAAAAGTAGAATATAAGTCCTTTAAATAATCTTGTATCATTCTTACGACAATCTCAAAATGAGAAAGATTAGATATTTTGACTAGATTTAAACAACTAAATTGAACTAAAAACAACAATGAGTATTGAGATAAGGAGTGAGGAATCAAAACAATTGGATATGTGATGAACCAACACATTCAGCAAAGGTTCACAGCTGGACTCCAGCTGATAGCCTCTAAAAACTATTAGGTTGCACCTCCATACAAAAAATATGCTCTGAAAATTTGCAAGAAGATTATGTGAATGAATCAATATTAAAAATTACCTGTTACTATGAGGTTGAAAGAAGCATTGTTGTCCTTTTGCAATTGATTGGTCGTATTCTCAAGTTCAGCCGATGTAAATGGAGCAGTTAGTGTCATCACAAAGTCTGCAATGACGCTGCCCTGTCTTAAAAAACAGGCAAACATTTCTGACTTATAATGGCTATCTTTATATAATAATGGCTGTCTCTACATCTGGTTTAATATATGCACAAGCCATTGAAGTTTTACTTTTTGTCATGAGATATAACAGTATATAATAAATCAATATTGTGTACAGCAAAGTAGGCACTCAAGTTAGCACATTCAATAATACTTCTAATCTGAAAGATTTCTTGTACTGTTTATTATATTACCATTACCTGAGTCTTGTGATCGTCAATGAGTCAAACCAGCCTAAAGTACTGTAAACTTGTTGCAGCTAAAAGAGAATAGATTATTAAATAAATTTTGGTTCATATGAGATATGAATCAAGCATATAGTGTGTGTAGGTGTTACTTTATACTAGCTCATCATCATGGCAATTTTATAACAGTCCTAAAATTCACAAGCCTTCACTATATTTTCCTCTATAGTTTTAGTCTGACACGGCTGCCAAAGTGAACATTTTTCACATCTAATAGCTGGGCAGATGGACTATGGGGTGCTTCAGGTGATGACAACAGAATGCACAAATAAGGGACCATAAATCTGAGATTAGCAGTTTTCAAATTATTAACACTGTTTAATGCTGCAGCATATCCAACACAGATCAGTGTAAAGGTTGTAGATTCTGTCACTGCAATTATAGTATTTTAGGAACTATAGAGCTAAGCTATAAAAAAAAGCTGAAAGGCATAGCTGGATGGGCCCTTTTCACAAAGAGTCGCAATTACTTCTGGTTTAAGCATTAGCAGGGTAAAACTAACTTCCGCCCCATATAACTATCGCAGAAGCGATGACAAAATGTTATAAAGGTGTGCTATAATGCTCAAACACTGGGCAACACAAGACATATGTTAGTTTAGTGAGAATAAAAAGTAGATGGGAGCACTGATTTAACTTTAAACAGAGCTAAAATGCTGTATATGTGGTATAGCCCTGTTTACTGCTACTGCAGCTGCGTCACATCAAGCAGTCTCTGTGTCTTTGTACAACATGCCAGTGATTTCTCTAATATTTCTAATATTTTTCTAAAGAAAGAAGAACTTTTATATGTAGTGTGAATTTTGTAGACATTGCTTAGATGTAGCTAGCTACACTAGAAGCCATTGCTTATTGTAGCTGTATTCCCAAACAAGGAATTTTTAAGCTAGCTGGCTAGCTATGTTAACGATCTGCCAAACGGCATCATTCTTTTAGTTTAATGGCAATTTTTGAAGCAGTACTTTGGATAACATCCCCCCTCTAACTGCTCAGTCAAAAACGCGACTCCTAGCTAACTTGAATTTTAGCATGCTGTGACATTTTGGTTTCCATTTTCTGACATAGCTAGCTAGTTGTTTGTGATCTGGGAAGAGCCATGTAAGGTCTCTGACATAACCAGCTAACATTAGCTGTTTGTACCAAACTGATCATGTAAGAATTATTTTGTTGATGGTTTATTGCCTGCATTAGCTTTTTAAAGATGAGTACAAAATTCACTGGTGATGCAGAAAGCTGTTTTATGTTAGCCAGGTAATCCAGTTTAGGATAATCGCTACTGTTCAATGGCTTCTAGCCAGCGTAGCTAGTTTAATATAAACAAAGTCTATCAAATTCATACTACATATAAAAGTTCTTCGTTCTTTTTAAAACAGAAATATTACAGAAATCGCTGGCATGTTGTACAAAGACACAGATACTGCTTGATGTGAGGCAGCTGCAGCAGACTGCAGTAAAAACAAGGCTCTCCCACACATACAGCACCTCAGCTCTGTTTAAAGTTAAATCAGTGCTTCTGTCCACTTCTTATTCTCACTGTTTATCACAACAATGCAAGAAAACTAACAGCTGTTGTAGCTCAGTGTTTGAGCATTATGGTACACTACTATAACATATTGACATATTGAGTAGAACTTAAAAATGCTCGCCAATACATGACTAGCAAACACATGAAATCAGAATATTTTTCATTAAAACACAAAACCATTTACTAAATTGCAGAGTAACATTTACTTGATGTTACACACTGATTTTCAGACTTTGGGACACATTTATTTCAAAAGAACGGAATCTATATCATCTCCATGTGGCCATGAGGGACAGGGGCACAGTCTCCTTTCCTGCTCTACAATGCAGAGGCGAGGCTACAATAAGCCTCCGCCTACAGACTAAAACTCTTTGATCTGAAAACGTGGGGCAGCATTTTTTGAATAAAGTTTTTTAGCTTAAAAATTAAACTCGTGAAAATGTAAATCTTTAAACTTCACTTAAAAACAAAAAAATCTTTTAAAAATTAATTAATTAATTTGCAAGTGGAAATTTAGGGGTCAGAGTTTGGGACAGCCACCTCCCAATATAAAGTACTTTTTTGAAATTATGATTTTGTATATATTTAGCTTATTAATTTCTTAAATCCTTGTAAATATCTAAGGGGTGTATACTTCAAATAGTTTTTTTAATGTGGGATCGCACTTTGAACTAATTCGGCAGAATGGTCTGGCTGCTTTAAAAAAATACAAAAATAAGTATCTGCTTTGAACGGTTTTCCAAATACAGAAAGCATCTTTTGATGATCTTATTTATCCAATTACAGTAAATTATGCAATGCTCAGTATAAATACCTGTATGCACAAACAGACTGGATGGCAGCAGTATCAGACTGAAACCAAAGAGTAAAAAAAGTGATTTCTGTTTAATCTTCTGTTTGGTTTTGAAGAATTCATTTGTTTGCAGTGTCATACACACCTGCCTAGTGTATTTCTCGACAAATATTTTATAATCTTCACTTCCAGGATCAGTAAGGGAACTGGTAAACGGCACATCAGCAATAGTAAATGATCCATTGACAAGAACTGGAGAAAAAACAGATAAGGATTTTTGGGTTTTTTGGTTTTGAACCTCAGTGGATGCTCCTTATACACCTGCGCACAGATTTAGATCTTATAACAACATCATGCAGCCATACATATTTTTCCTTTTCCTTTTTCAGACCTAGCAGTAGCTACTGAGCCTTGCAGAACACCAGCTGATTTGCTAAAAAATCACACAAGCTCAGAAACTGACTGCTGGCTGTGCACCCTAGTAGTACATATAGCTATCAACACAGGTGTCTCTCATGCCATGTTTAATACAACCCACACTAATTGCACTCAATGCCATTAGAACCCCAGGAGAGCATGAGTTCTGCCCTTGTTGCCTCTGAGTGTGGAGTACAGAGGCATGGATGAGACCTTAGTGAAGACCTATGACATGGCATGCACTGGCTGAAGCTGGATGTGGATCAGCTGACTCTGTGCTTGTACTGGCTGATGATCCAGCATCAACTCCACTGACAAGCTTAAGCATAGCACCTGAGAAATTATAGATGTTACTTTATTAATTTTATCAGCTGCATCAGGTCCATTCAAACTGTCTCCCCCAGATTTCCTTTAATACATTTTCAAATATAAAATATTATTTATACAATGGCTTGGCTGAATATGACATGATCATTATCAATTGAGAGATGTAGATCCATATAGCCCAGGAAAACCCAGCTAAACATTTTAAATTCAATATTTAATCAGTGTCAATCTATTTGTAAACACTGTTGCTGTTCATCGAACGTAAAATATAGTTGTATTTCACCCTCACTTTTGTCAGGCACAAAGTCACAGAACACTGGAAGTAGCTAGCAAGCAAGCAAGATGCAGACAGACCCAGAGATGGTCTGTCCAGCTGAGATGACTGCCCAGCTAGGGTAGAGAGACAGACAAAGAGAGAAACAGTGCCCAGCTAGGTTAGACCAGCAGACAAACTAGAGAGAGATGCACTGCCCAGCTAGGGTAGAGAGACAGGTTAGAGAGAGAAGCACTGCCCAGCTAGGTTTGACAGAAAGACAAACTAGAGAGAGAAGCACTGCCCAGCTAGGTTACACAGACAGACTAGACAGAGAAGCACTGCCCAGCTAGGTTTGACAGAAAGACAGACTAGAGAGAGAAGCACTGCCCAGCTAGTTTACACAGACAGACTAGAGAGAGAAGCACTGCCCAGCTAGGTTACACAGACAGACAGACTGGAGAGAGAAGCACTGCCCAGCTAGGTTAGACAAAAAGACAAACTAGATAGAGATGCACCGCCCAACTAGGTTAGACAGAAGGACTAGAGAGAGAAGCACTGCCCAGCTAGGTAAGAGAGAAAGTCAGGCTAGGGAGAGATGCATTGCCCAGGTAGCACATCAACATTTATTTGTTAAATGTTAGTGTTATTTGCTGACATCAAACTTTGATAGGAGAGAACACAAGTTCACTTGATGGCTATTCCTGCAATTCACTTTCATGTTTTTTCAATACCAGATAGATGGTTCTGTTTCATCGTCTCATCGAAGATGTAAACAATGATTGCAGCTTTGGCATGAGGTGGAGATGGGGCTCTTGCAGGATTTGCTGGGCCCTATACAACGTGCATAGTGAGCGTATAGGGCCGACCGGCTCTGGTCATCAAGAAGTATGGCTGTCTAAGCTCTCCCTGCTCATTGAGGCCTGTAAGGACATTCTGAGATTTCCACTTCTGGTGCTTTTGATTGTACTTCTGTAGCTATTGCTTAATGCTACAAGGAATCCAAGTCCTACCATCGAAGTTTCACTGGCAACATGCTTACATACACACCCCATGATTCAGGGCCCTATTTAAGATATTTGCAAGATCAGTTCATTTTTAAAACATCTATGACAACATACAAATTGACCCTATCAAGAGGTGGTTTCTTTGCAATTCTGAAATTCGGCTCCCTAGGTTTGATGTCAGCCTGACGTTCTGCATTGCTTCACTGAGAGCAAAGCCAAGAAAGACCTCCCCTATTTAAACAGGCTCATATGTGCTCCCAAAGGTGTCAAATCACAACGGATACACTGGCTTTCTGAGCTTCTGTTACATTTAATGTCATGGGCTATTCACCCGGAAATTATACACTTTCTGCAAGTCAGTAAGAACAAAACAGAAAGCTAGTTATGAATATAACTGTGGTTCTCTGAGTTCCAGAAGAACACCAGAATTGCAATCAAAATTGAAATCTGTGGGAAGATTCTTAGAAGATGTCTTTTGTGTGAGCAGGCTATTTGTATTACGAGGCACCTGGCAATCATACTGAACCTATTACATTTAGATATATTGGAGGGCATATGCATATAAACAGAATTTGGGATACTTAAATAAAATATTTCTGTATTATAGAGTCCAGTAGCAAACAATGATTATTACTGCTAGGCCTTCAGTTCAAGATTAAAATTGTAAAACCCCCCCAAAAAAACAAAACGAAACAAAAAATGATATGATAATGATAATTTCTGCTAGCATCACTATGGTATTCTAGTAATATGTTAATGTTAAGCTAACAGTGATTCACATGAACATTTTTTAGCCAGATTAAATGCAGACATTTGAAGCTTGTACAACACATTCCAAACGTGACTGGCTGATTCCAGCATCAGATCCAAATTATGTTGGTGGTTAACCTGACATATTAGGGCTTCAGTTTAGCTTCTTACCTGAACTAGCTTACCTGAATCTACCTAGATACCACAGAGAAAAAAAAAAAACCTGATTGGACAATTTTCTGTTGGGCATTTCAAGAATTTAACACTTTTGCTTCCAAATGAAATTCTATTAAATAAAAAAATCTAAAAGATAAAGATATTTTTTTTCACAGAAATCTCATATTTTGCCATGGTGCACAAGCATGTATTACCTTTATTGTTGGAGAGACACATAGCCCTGGGGTTTGGATCATTAAACATGCAGTTATTTTGGTAGCAGCACTGGCTGTAGTTCTGACACACTTCCTCACTCCAACTGTAGCCTGAATTGCAGCCACAGTTCACCTTTCCTGTATTCAGCCTGTTGCATTCTACAGTCAGAAGAGAGAAAAAATACATAACTTTAAGCACTATTAACAAGTGAACAGCAAAGATCATAAATCATATACTATATAATTTATAATATAATTATATGCTAAAGTCATCTATTGGGAAAAAGTAAAATTTCTTTTAACAAAAATATGACATTGTTTTAGTTATTTACATGTATTTTGTGTGTTTGTCCTTTTTAACCTTTTTTTACTTTGATCTTTTGATCCTGGCCAAAATATAATCATCTATCATTTTCAGAAGTATTTTAATTACCTGTTGTAATGTTGAAGTTTTGTACTGTTGCTGAGCTATTCACATCCAGAATCAGGTTATCAATCAGGTCGGTGAAATGCTTGTATGCTCCAGCTTCTATGTGAACCTCAATGTAGTAAACCTGTGTTGAATTTTCTGGCACAAACATGTAAAAAAGTATATTACACAGTGATACACAGTTCCTTTGGTTCTGTGTGCTTAATGTAATGACAAGCAAAGAAAAAATATTTACCTCCTGAAGAAGCCTACAAATAAAAATATCAAATGATTAGCAACGTTAGGTGCAGTTTATGATGTAACTAAGTTAAATATGTCAAGATTAAAGATGCATGTTCTGTGATGCGGTATTTATTATCCCTGTAACGTGTTTATCTTCTATCACCTCATATAAACCTCATCCCAGCAGCTGTTAGAACTAACCAGACTCTCTTACAATAATTCTGGGAAAATAAACCAACCTTGAAAAACAGTCCCAGCAAGATGAGAATAAACTCTGTACAGGATTTCATTTTGAGGCAGGATTTTCTGAGACTGAGAAGAGCACAGTCATTCATGTGAGGAAACAAATGCAAATCAAAAACAGATCATGAAAATGATAGCAAAATGAACTTATAACACCCGTTATGACTGGCATCATTCCTAAATTACTCACCATTACACATTTTATACATATATAAATTACACAATGAATAAATATTTAATATAAATAGTCAATGTTATGTGCATATGTTAAGTGCAGGAGAATTCAATGTCTTTAAGGTCCAACTGTATACCTTAAGTAAGTTTTTCCTAGGGGGAGGTACATATTTGTTCCCTGACTAAAGATGCTGAAGACATACCCTTGAGAGTACTATTTTGCCTCACAACTCTCTGCATCATATACATACACAAAGCTAAATCCTCAACTCAAAACTATGTCTCAGACATCAGGCAGTGTATTCATAACCGTTTCATGTAATAACTCTGTGACAGAGCTTTTAGAGGCAGACGACTGGTTCCTGTCACCACCACTGTAAACAATTCTGACTGCGTAAGTTTCTTTAGAAACATGGAGCATTTCATATCAAACCACTCTGACTGACTTTATTAACATCTTAACTACTTAATTATGCTGCAGTTTTTTTTGTTTTTTTTTGTGTGTGTGTGTGGGGGGGGGGTTTAACCCAATTATCTCCCTAATTTAGTCGTCGCCAATTCCACCCGCTAGTTAGGACTCCCCCAATCACACGATACCATCAACGCTAGGAGGGTGAAGGCTAACACAGGCTTCCTCCGAGACCTGTGAAGCTTCTTTTCGAACTGCCACACGCAACGTCATTGGACAGCTGAACGCGCTCGGAGAAAAGCGCCATCCGCCAGATCTGTTACGTCAGCTAACAGACGCCTTCGCTGACTGGCATCGCGTTAAGTGATGGGGGGGAGAAGGAGGGGCCCTCTCTCGGACTCCCGGCTACAGATGGCTGTAGCATCACCAGGGATCGAACTCGCGATCTGCTGATGATAGGGCCAACACTTAGACAGTTGCGCCACTCGGGAGCCCTTGCAGTCCGTCTGTCTGTTTTTTTTTTTTTAAATTATTTTTTCAAAGTGGTGGAGTTCCCCTTTAAGTTTGACTCTTGTGCATTTTGTCCCCTGTAGTTTCCTAGTCTTATGACTTCCAGACAGACTTGTCAAATTAATTTGAATACATTTAAAGGTGTGTTCTTCACTTTTTATTCTATTTCAGTCAACACTGAAGCACCTGAAGACTATTTTGTGGAAGTCTCTGTTATCTATTCTAAGAATGCTGAATGGAATCAGTGTGTCATTTGGATGTCAAAGAGTAGAACACACATCTCAGAATAATTATATGAATATGAATTATATTACAAGACAAAAATATTATAACTGTGTTTTATTAGTAGCTACCAAGTACTTAGTTTTTCTTTTCTCTGTGATTTCTCATATCTCATATCTCATGTCTCCAAAATTATAAGTTTACAGGAGAAGAAAAAAACTTTCTTAACTTGTAATAGAAGTTAATGTAACAAGATTTTTTGACAAGTAATTCTGGCCATTTCTATTGCTCTGTTCATCATGAAATTTTGACATACAAAAGGTAACCTGAGTTTTCAAATCAAGTTAAAAAAAAAAAACAAGTGAAAAATGGCAAAAATGGCGATACGTTTTTGTGCAACAGTGACAATATACACTTGCAGTTCCTTTTACAGAGGGGCTTCAAGAACAGACAGCAAATTTATTGAACCATCAAGATCCAATATAAAATCACTCTTGATTTATTTTATGAACAATTAGAATTATTTTATTAACATTTTATAACAGCTTCAAAGCATTTAGAACTAGTTATCACAGACAGATGAATGCATGGGGACAGCATGTGTTCAACCCTTTGTCTAGTGCTGAGCCACACATTTCATTGTTTTAAAATCACAGAAGCACAAAATATTTTCTTACCTTTCTCAAAGTCTCTTTTTCTTGGTCAGGCTGTTTTCTGCTACAAAAATAACCTGAACCCCAAAAATATATCGATCAGTTTGCTGTTAAATCATAGCAAAGGAATGAAGCATGAAAATATCTGAAATATCTATAGAATTCTTCCACTTTGTTCAGAAGAGCTCTACACACAAACAAAAAGCGAACTGCACCTTTCTGAGCTGAGATGCTCCAGCGCCAGACACTGTATTAGAGGGATGAGGGTAGGACGTAAATACCCAACTGAGTCTTGCTGTCGGGATGCCAAACAGAACTATTTGCATGAAATACCACATAACAATCAGGTACATTCAGCTCGTCCCAACAGTAACCTAATGTTAACTTCATTTGACTTCCAAAAATTCCCTTCAAAGCCTCGACTAATTCACTCTGTAATTTGTTTGCATTGCAAATAATTTTGAGCCTTCCAGGAACTATGATTTCAACTGCTTTATTAAAGCTGCTTACTTACATTTAGGACTTTTAGAGATGCAAAATCGGCCTGACACATTGGGGAGACCAACATTTCAATTTTTGTGCAAAACTAGGCAAACAGCAAGTATGCTGGGTAACTATATTCTCATAATATCTAATGCTTTATATGTCAATATCAGAAAGGAAGACAAACAATATTAGTAATAGGAATAATAATGTTATGTATTCTGATATTCATTTAATCAGTATAGAGATTCAGTTGTATTGCCTGTTGTTGTGGCATCTTTTTTTCAGTTATCTGTTGCTAGAATTATTAGTCTGATCTGCATACTACTATAAATATTTTAACAAAATACTTGATATGTAAAATGATGATATTAAGAAAAAAAGAATATTTCTTACTTGTTATGGCATACACAATGGCAAATGTACAACATCTTACATGAAGTGGAAAAGTGGTGGAGTTGTGTGTTCAAAGTGCAGGTGTGTGTGTATGATTGTCCTTTCCTTGTTGTCTTAGTCAAATAGTATGTATATATATATATATATATATATATATATATATATATATATATATAGTATGTGTTTGTACCAGTAGCTGTTTGTCTAATAAAATCTCTATCCACAGTACAGATGCTCTAGCGTAATGTCTGTGTATGTGACCTGTCCACACATCATGAAATCAACAGGAATCAACAAAGCTGATTAGTTCAGAAACCTAAATGAACAGTGTCACTGGTGAGACTAGGTCAACAAAGATAGTGTCTCTTGTGCCCATCTTAATGACGTCAGCAGGAGTGGTTCTCAGCCAGGCCCAAGACCTTGAAGGTTCCCAAATGGTTACCTTTCACCCAGTTATACAACGAAGAAAAAACATAGTTCCAGCTTCTGTACCATCGGCCACCGCCATGGGTGATTAGAATACTAATAATCCCTACTTAAGTAAAAGTACTGCTTTTTTTCAATGTCTTTTTTAGCTTTTCAAAGATGATCATAGAGGTAATTAGTACAATGAAACAAACATGAAGAGGAGTGGTACTTTAAGAAAGAAAAAAAGGAGGGATGTTACAAGTGTACATAATGCTCACTATATCTGCTTCAGTTACACAGCAGTCAGATCCAGATTATTTATACTGTTCCTCTGTAGGCTTGTCAGCATAGCAGACTAGATATATTTACACAGTATCAAAATACGATTATTTAATAATCAGTCATTAAAGTCAGCAGTTTCCCTCTTATCAAAAAGATTCAGGAAAACCTCCCATACATCTCTGAATTCTTTCATTTTGGCCCTAAACAAAAAAGTTATGTTTTCTAATGCAGGCTTGAGGTCATTCATCTGAACCACTGTTATACACCAGGCATTTCTACCTTTTTGCAGGAACAAACTACTATACATTTGGCTTCAAGGAGACAAGCTAGATCAAGCAGGATTCTTCTTTATAAATTTTAAAGTCATCTGGGAATATGAAGAATACACAATTCAGGACTAAGAGGATAATCAATTGTTGCTAACCAATGAGACTATATACAGCATTCCTACATGCAGTGGAACAGTGTTCCTTTATTCTGTTTACACTTAATACAAGTATACGGAATGTTTGTGTTAAAGTGGTGTAGTCTGGATTAGGGGTGGGAGTAAAAATCGATTCTTAGATGCATCGCGACGCGGACATGGATGCTTCTGAATCAATTCACAAATGACAAAAAATCGATTTTCTAAATTTTAATTGATAACGTAATGTTGACGGAGCACAAAAGGCGGAACTTTGCAAAGTGCGGACAGTCTGTGGCGTGCACACTACATTAAAAGCTAGTGCAGGGGTCACAACCCAAATGTAGAGAGTAATTTTGTTCTTTCAACAAAAATTAAACCACCTTCGGAGTCATTTTGAGTCCATTTTACCAGCTTGGCTGTATATGTGTCTCAGTACATGTTAATGTCCTAGTGTAGGCAAAAATAAGCTTTAAGCTTTAGCTCAGCTGTAGCCGCTTTTCTTGCATCACCAACTGGAAACTTTTCCACAAAAGTAGAACAGTTTCTTGTAAAATGTCTCTCAATGTTCTACTTTTTACAAGGCTGAAGTCAGTTTTCCAGAATGTACTGCTGCACCATTCAAGGTGGAACGGGAAAATTGAAAAAAGGAGGACAAGAAGTCTTCAGCTTTACGTGTTTTTTAGTGTTTGACAGTTTCTTGTTGTAGATTAAATGTATCAGGAAACCAGCTGAGTGATTATAAATGCAAATAAGTCTATTTGTCTCCAAATTATGGATGTTTGTCTTAAATCTTTCTCTTTGCCTTTTCTTTAGCTACTAGCTTGGTGAACTAGCAGTTATAGGCTACATTAATTCCAGTGTTTAAGATCATTTATAGTTACAAATGTAGTTGAATGATCAACAGAGCTTTATTTTACTGCAAAGGAGGATTATTTTATTTTTACCTAGAAATCTAATACTGATGTGGAGCCGAATGCAGCCAGTAAAAGGGCCGCGGGTTGCCGAACCCCTGAGCTAGCGTATGGAAGCACTTAGGCTTCGATGGAGTTGAGGGGGACACCATATTACTTGTTTCCATCCATTTTCCGCCCAGTTCTAGTTTCTGCCAACCAAAGGACCATCGATCAAGCAATGTCAGAGCTTCCACCCAACTCGGAAAGGACTAAGCAAACTACAAACCCTATGGCAACTTTTATTGCCAAGGATTTGCATCCGTACTCAGTCTTTGAGAACCAGGGCTTTCGTGCTATGTTGCACACTCTGGAGCCGACATACAGCATCCCATCTCAAAGATATTGTACTGACACAGCAACCCCAACACAACGAAACCAAAACCGAAGTTATAGAATCACTGACGAAAACGGGTAGAATAGCTGTAATCTGCTGTGTGGACACCCACTGCCACAGAATCTTATTTCACTGTGACTGTGCATTTTATCACAGATGAGTGGCAGCCAGTGTCTCAAGTGCTCCAAACAAGAGCAGTGAAAGAGAGCCTTCCAGTTCACTTGGCACATCACTTCCATTTGATTTATTAATAAAAGATATTGGAGGTAAATCCATTATGGACTATTACAAATACTTTGCTTTAAAAGGTCTAAATCGTCACACAGTGAGAAAAAAGAAATCCTGTATAGAAAATTTGTTTATGGGATTTAATTGGGATTTCAGCAGTAAACTTTTGGAAAATATGAGGTTTTGACTAATGGAACAGTATTTCAGATAGGTACACCTCCAATAACCACATAAATGTACTTGTTTTAGGCATTTTCACAAATCAGCTAATGCAAATATCAAATTTGTTTTAAATTGTGAATAGAGCTCCTTAATTTAAGCAACCATACAGAACTCTGTTGGTGAAAGTTTTCACAAATTTGGTCATGCTTAAAACAGCTGAATTCATGTGTTTATTGGCAGCATATATCTGAAATACCATTCCAAGTTTAAAACCTGCTATTAGTCAAATTTATGTTGCAAAAGCTTATCAAAACAACAACACACAAATATAGTTGTGATAAATTTCACAGATCAGGTGAGTTAGAATTAATAAATGACTGACAGACAAAAACATTGCTGTTAAAGATTTCACAAATCAAGTGAAGTTAATTTGAGCCTCCTTCCATCTCTTTACTTGACTAGTTTTGAAAGTTATATGTATTGCATTTAGCCTTATAACTGAAATACTCTATTATTGCAAATGGAAATGTGAATAGAACTGTGTAAATCAATCACACTGAACTCTGTGTACATTTTTACAAATGAGGTAATGTCTAAAAAGTGAGTTTACATGGTTACTGGTGATGTATATATCTGAAATAGTGTTCCAGGTCAAAAACTCAATAGGGACTAACAGACACAATTATAGTTGTGAAATTTTTCACAGATCTGGTGACTTAATTAGAGTATGCTTTCATCTCTTTATTGCTGTGCCAGTGTTTGGTCAAGAAACTGAAACCTCCTTGTTTTACGCATGATAATGGAAATAGACCTGAAGAAAACAATCAGACAAACTGTTTTTGTAAAAGTTTTCACAAATCAGGTAATGCCTAAAACGAGTGAATTTGCAAGGTTTTTGATTGTGTTAGAGTCAGAGCCCTATTTCTCACTTTATAATTCCCAGATCTACTCATGACTGACAGACAAAAATAGGACTCTAGTTATCAGCTTGGCTGATTTGAGCCTCTGTGTCAGCGTTTTACGTTATTAAGTTTAATGCAGTGAAATGTCATGTTCCAGATGAATAGAGCAAGGCCGTAATCACAATATATTTAAATATGCTCAAAATGCCCCCCTCCTCAAAAAATAATACTGGTATAAAAATAGAAATAAAAATATTCCATTCAGTAGCTTTGCGTAATGTTACGGTATGTCAGACTGATGGTATACAGTCTTTGGTTGCCATTTCAGTTGTTGATGGGACACTTATTATGGTAACACCGTACCGCAGCACCAGTGCTTCACCTCGGCAAAGTTTTTATAATGTCTCTGACTGAAAGGTAACATTAATGTCAATACGTCATTTTGCCCTGAAACTGTAATTGTGGAAATAAATATTACTTTGCTAAAAAGTTTCAGTAGTTCATCTCATGTGTTAATGAATTTTTTAAATACGTTAGAATGGCAGGAAATATTTTTTTTATTTTTATTCTACCGAAGGAGGCAATATATCTATTAACTAAATAACGCTATGCGGTATGAGGTAACTAAATGGTCTGCTTCAGGGGCAGGCTTTTTTGGACAAACGATTGCTCCAAATGCAGGCACTTGGTAGTGCAGGTAGACAAAATTCTTGTAATGTTGATACAAATAAATGGTAGTGAGATTGTTAGGGCTGCTGCATACTGCCAGAGAGTTTTTCGGCTACAAATGTTATGAATGGATGCTTTTCATACATTTCTAAATGTTTTCTTATTAAAGTTTTAAATTGTCTTACAGCTATTTATCTGTTTAACAGGTTATGTGGTATTTGTATATTTCACCTAAATGGCTCATTCATATACATTGTAGAGCAATCTTGGGTACACTAACTTAATGTTATGCTTAGCTTATTCTTGCTGTTCCTGTTATGCTGGATGCCTCAAGAGCAGAGAGCAAATTTATTAAATGAAGATGTATAAAACAGTTATTTTGGAAACAACACTATGGCAGCTTCAGGATATTTGAACTGGTCCTCAAAGATGGATGAATTAGAGGGAGAGAGCATGCTTTCAGCTCCTTTCTTTAGCTTTGTAGCAAACTGAGTGGTGAGCATGATTGTTTTAAAACAAAATTTTAAAATTACAGAAACTTAAAATATTTTCTTACCTTTCTGAACAACTCTTTTTCTTCTGCTACAATAGCCTGGAAAAAAACTCTTGAGGAAAAAAGTATGCTGTGTCAAATCAATGCATAGCAGTAAAGTTTAAAAATATTTTAAAATACTTTTTTTATCCAGTTTCTCCAGATGTACTCTCCACAAGAAAAAAGGCAAACTACATCTTCCCGTGCTGAGATGTTCCAGCACCAGTTTATCCACAAGCCGGAAGTACATTACGTACAGCACGACAGGTAGAGAGAACCAGTTTGGTCCTCAAGATGCCCTACAGACCAATATTCATAAACTATTACAACAATCAGGTACATTGTGTTCATCCCAACAGTAATGTAGTGTTAACTTCATTTGACTTTCAAAAGTGCCCTCCAAAGCCTTCATCAATTCACTCTGCACCTTATTTAACTTGCAAATAAATTTCAGCCTTCCAGGAGCTATGATTTTAAGTGCACTATTACAAATGTTTGAATAGACATTGAGAACATTTATATATAATCTTGCATTGATGTCTGGCATCAAAACCTAGTGCTAAACTAAAAGAAACAGAAACTAAAATATAAAAGGTGCCATATTGCACAGAAATAAGATTACATTTGTTATCCTTACAGTATATTTATGGAGAATTGTAGATTGAGAAATGTAACTAGCTTTGATTAATCTAGGTTAATACTGTAGGTATCTGGTAAAAATGTCATGTTTTGCCAATCACTTTAAACGCCACGACTACTTCATGTAGCACTGGGTAAGTCTGTCAGATTATTTTTTTCTAACTAAAGTTTATAATGAGTTTCTGAGTCAGAGTTTCGTTCTTCTCTCCACTCATTGAGCTAAAAACCCATTGTCAGATGTTACATTCATGGTATAAAGTGCAGAAGGGATACGTTAGTTAGTTCTTGTATACTAAGACTACAGAAGGCTGGCTTAATGTTAATGTTCTGTTTTGCACTTGCTAATTAACTAGATAGCAGTCACTCCAGTTCTCAGCCAAGTAAAAGAGTCTTTGAGTGGCTCATGTATTTTAAAGAGACAAACCATGTGTATTCTTGTTTAAAACTATGTGTCCACTCGATAACTATTATAGTGCAGTGTCGGCATAGAAGAAAATGCTAGAAACTTTGAGCCTACAGGACAATGCTCCTTTATTGAGCAGGCAGCAAGTGAAAACTCCAGCCCAGCACTGCTAAGTAACTGCAGGATAGCAATCAGGTCACTTCTAGCCTTACATCACCTCTCCATGGTAGACACTAACACCCACTCTAACTATCCCACAGCCAAACACAATAAAGCACACATCTTAAAAACACACACGTTAAGCCCAACAACAACAACATTAACAGCAACAAATATCCTTTCTTAATGGAGAGGGGAGGCGCTTGAAGGCGCAGCTTTGCATGCCACTTCCTGAGCTCTACTTGACTGGTGTGTGGGGTCCCAGCCAGCACAAGTGCCATGGGGTGTCCACTCCTCAGCGGTGGGCACCCCCTGTCCTCTCCTGGGGCTGTGTCTTTGGCACAATGGCTCCTCGGTGTGCCCTGCTCTGGGTGTGCTGTCCTCTTCCTACCCTGGGGGGCAGTTGAACTGCAGCTCCATAGGTGTCCTCTCTGTTGGTGCGCATGAGCTCTGCATCCTCTTCCTGAGCATCAGAAGTCCTCTCAGCTCACCACATCAAGTCCAGCGCTACTGGGGACAATGACTGCAGCAATGGCATTCGTCTTTGCTGCCTTCCACTCTCTCTGCTGTCCTTGGCACCGTCAACACTGGTGAGGGTGCTGCTTGTTTGCGTTATCTTGCCACTTGCCCTCAGTTCCGCTGCCTGCCACTGCAACCAGCCTCACTTGTTCTGCATAGGCACCAGCCAGACTTGTGCACTCGACTCAGGCCCCCTTCCGCGGCCTTCTGGGAGCCACTTCCTCCCTCTCATGTTAACTCGGCCGCCAAGGATGGAGTTGAGTTGGGTGGTCATCACTTCCCACTTTTCAAGGGTGCCACCTGGGCAAAGCAGCAGCACTGACAAGACAGTATCAATGGTGCAGTCAACTGTTTTCCGTCCATGCTTCACTTGACCCCAGCTTAGTGCTACTTAATAGCAGTGGAATTGCAGGCAGGTCACTTCTAGCCATACATCTACTTTCCATGGTAGACACTAACACTCACTTTATCTATCCCACAGCTCAACACAATAAAGCACAAATAACTAATACACACATCTTAACCCCAGTAACAACAACGTTAACAAGAACAAATGTCCTTTCTTCATGGAGAGGGGAGACACATGCAGGCGCAGCTTTGCATGCCACGGCCCCTGAGTTGCACTTGAAAAGCAGAGCATGTGGCGGACCCTGCAATAGCAAGGTTGTCTCTGCCCAGGAGTTGAGTGGGAAGGTTACGGGTTTTGTGGGTCGTGTCACGGGGGAGGTCACTGTGGTTGTAGTAGGCTGGTCTAAGCAAAAGCAGCTACAAAGAACACTCAAGGTACAAAGCACTTTTAACTCTACAAGCACAAGAACATCTTACCATAAGTTTAAGTTTCCTCAATAGTATAGAAGAAGGGGAGCTTTTCCTTCTGTTTCTTTCCAGTATCTGTTTCTATACATTTTACATTTAACATATTTATGTAATTAATATACAAATTAGCATTAATATTGTTGAGCATTGTTGTTGTGATGTTGAACAGTCAATATTATTTGACTTGGAAAATATCTGGCAATATTTATGTAAACTCACTTTTCATTAACAACCTGCTTAAGAATTATTTCTAGTGCTAGTGAGAATTAATGAATACATGAATTAAGTGTATACTTTTAGAAGAATATTAAAACAAAAAAACAAATGGGGAAAAGGCAGGTAGATCTTGCATGCTAAAATATACACTACTGTGCAAAAGTTAAAGGCCACCCTTTGTATTTCTGATATTAATAAACTGTAAAGCTACAACAAACCTTCATGATGTAAATGATACCCACTAAAGCTTGAGTGCTGATAGCTCCCCCTGTGGAGAATTTTAGCATAAAGAGCTGGTGATTACTGGATAGATGTCCTCTTGACATGGATTGATATCGTAAGTCTAAATATCTTACATCATGGCAATATACACATCGATATATGTATAAGGAGCAAAAGGGGTTACACAGCAGTAAGTTCAATGCCTGAGCCGTTACGGTACCGTAAAACATTTGGGAAACCACTGCTCTAGAAGGACACAGCCTAACCAGTTGGTAAGGAGATGGCGCTGTAAACATGGGGGTATGGGTGTTTCTCCTGCTTCTTATAACGTTGCTATTGTTGCCTGTGTTACCAACATACACCACCCAGCCACTTCCTTGTTTCTACACTCTTTGTCCATTTTATCAGCTCCACTTACCATACAGGAGCACTTTGTCATTCTACAATTACAGACTGTAGTACATCTGTTTCTCTGCGTACTTTGTTAGCCCCTCTTTACTCTCTTCTTCAATGGTCAGGACCCCCACAAGACCACCACAGATGAAGTATTTGTATATTTATTTGGGTGGTGGATCATTCTCACACTACAGTGACACTGGTGTGGTGGTAGTTAAACACCTGTGTCACTGCAAAAAGTCCACCAACTAAAAATACCATCCTGTGACCAATAAAGGATTAGAGCATGACTACCGCAACCTGTGCTGCAACAGATGAGCTAATGTCTCTGACTTTACATCAACAAGGTAGGTGTGTCTAAAAGAGTGGACAGTGAGTTGAAATAATGTTTAAAACTCCAGCAACACTGCTCTGTCTGATCCACTCATACAAGCACAACACTTGCTAACATGCCATCGTCAGGTCAGTGTCACTGCATTGCTAGTAGAGAGAAAATTGTAGAATTTAAAATTTGGACCGCAGAAGTGCCCATCAAGTTGTGTGGTCTTTTCAGGGCCGAGTCTAAGCAAATTTTGATATGGTCAGAAATCATTCGTGCATTGCCACTTTGGAAGACACTCATTTGGTTCGTTGAGATGCACGAGTGATGATACCTAGGCCTGTCATTCTTAGACAATCTGCTTTGACATTGTTTTGTGATGTGACAACATACTGTTTTGGTGTCCACAACATTGTCTGCTTGGTGCTTTTCTACATTGTCACAACGCTGAAATGTAATTCCTCAGAAAGTTATGACAACGTTGTCACAACCTCCTAGAAAGTTGTCAGACAACGTTGTCATAACTTTCTGAGGAATTACATTTCAGCGTTGTGACAATGTAGAAAAGCACCAAGCAGACAATGTTGTGGACACCAAAACAGTACGTTGTCACATCACAAAACAATGACGAGACAGCAAAAATAATCGGTACTGCATTGACTTACGTTGTCACAACCTCCTAGAATCATTAATAAGTTCTGTTTTAATCAGTATTACAGTTTTTGATAACCAGTTCTAATCGTCTTCAGTATGGCTTTCATGGGTTTCAGCAGTAGCCTTTTTGTTTTTTTCTGCGAATAAACCCGTCATGGTAGGTTTTATTTTGAAAGTTTCCCTATTTAATTATCTTATTATCAGTATGACAACATTAATATATGTTCAGTGTAACTCTTGTTGCTCAAGAGTATGTGGTTCACTGTTTTCCCTCATAAAACCAACAAAAACACTGTTGTGGCAGAGCATGCACTGACGTCATCAGTAGGCTGGCAGTGCATGTCAGACGGAGAGTGCATGTCTGCAGCCAGACCCTTGTCTTTAGCTGTTGGCTACCTTCACAATTGCTACAGTTTCAAGTCAAAATTTTAGCTTATGACCTTCTTTGTGTTTTCACACTGATGCCTGACATACAGTATCAGCATTAGTGTGTCTTCTGTTGTGGTGTGAATTTTAGTATATGCAAATGTGTAAATCTGGCAGGTTGTTAGTCTTAGCTAAGGATAGTTTAGGATCACACAGCAGAATTTTCCTTAGTCATTGTTTGAGTCTAGTTTGAATAAGTTCTGCTTTTATACCACTGAAGTTGCAGCTTTTTGCTTTAATGTGTAGGTCACTGACCTAAGATTCAGTAGGCGCAGCTGGTCTCTGGAATCTTGTGTTGGATTTGTGTTGTTCCATCATGACATTCATTTGAGGAGTGTAGATTTCCCTGAAGTGCTGTAGACTTTAGGTAAGACTAGCCCAAGGTAAGATGTGGCCATTCTTGCCAGGCTCTTTTCACCCCCCTTTTGTTTTCTTGCAAATTTGGCCTAAGGACTCACTTCTGACACAAAGTAATGTGTAAAACTTGCAGGAAGGGCAAAGTATGGCTGAAACTAACCATTTGTTTGGTGAAAGAAGCATTCATTTACAGCAGCATGGCAAGCACATTTACCTGGTGAATTCAAACA